GTGGCGACTTGAAAATGAAGGAGATTCATGTTCGGTAATTTTTACAAGAACATCGAACTCACTTGGCAAATATTTACTGAGCCCCTACTGTATTTCAGGCACTGTTTTAATGCTTGGGATATATCAATGACCCAAATCTACAAAAATTCATTCTTTTGCTTTCCAAGTCACTTGAATGTTATTGGATGCTTGGGTGCTGTGGAGAAGAAATAGAAGGAAGGCCTAGATACTTCTTTCCAGGATGCAAGTTTCAACATTCATGTTTCAACAAAAGCAATGATGTCTATAAATTGTATAAGCATTAGTATGCAATTATTGTCTCAAAAAGGAGGAGTCGTCGTTCTTTTTTTTTCTTTGTTTTTTTTGAGACGCAGTCTCACTTTATCACCCAGGCTAGAGTGCAGGGGCACCATCTCGGCTCACTACAACATCTGCCTCCTGGGTTCAAGCTATTCCCCTGCCTCAGTCTCCTGAGTAGCTGGGACTACAGGTGTGTGCCATCACACCCGGCTAATTTTTGTATTTTTATTAGAGACGGAGTTTCACCATGTTGGCCAGGCTGGTCTTGAACTCCTGACTTCAGGTGATCCGCCTGCGTCGGCCTGTCAAGGTGCTGATGTTACAGGCATGAGCCACCGCGCCCAGCCCATGGTTCTTCTTTAACAAAGTATATGACTGTCATCACATTTGAACACTGTGAGTTAACAGGTGACTGTAAGTTAAATGGTGATGCCCAAAATGTATTGATTTCCCCACTCACCCCTGTACCAGGACAGCACGTCTCATTCCTCCCTCACCTCGTATGATGAAATTAGGATCTCAAACCATGGACAAAGCTCCTTTCCCCTCTCCACTGTTTCCTCCTTTATCTCTCATTCACGGCAGCTCAACCAACAAGCCTCACTCGTTTGGAGGCAAAAATTGGCAGCCAGGACAACTGGGGACTCTCCTCCAGACATCCAGGCATCCTTGAACATTGGAGTGGCAAAGGTCTCTAGGAAACACATGGTGCAGCCTCCTCTTTCGACAGCTGAGCAAACAGAAGTCCAGAGACTGCAGAGCCTTGGCCAAGGTACCAGAGCCAGATATGAGAGAGCCGGGCCTGGAACCCAAGCCTCCTGCCTCCTTGGTCAGTACAACACACTTTAGCCCCTGTGTTAAACAACATGGCCCTGTATCCTGCAGAGGAGAGGGAAGCATCAGGAAGCTCTCGTGGCCTGGTGAGTTCTGTTTCATCATGGCTGGACACTCGGAGCTGGATCTCAATGCAGCTGTCCTGTCTGGGACTTCCAGGGCATGATTATTTCCAAGAGTCGAAAGCCAACCTCTCATGCACCAGTCAGGACTCTGGGTTGTCAATATCAGACACTGACTCTGGTGTGCTTGGGAAGTGAAGGAATCTATTGGAAGGATATCAGGAGCTGACAGAATCAGTGGTGGGGCCAGATAATCAGTACTGGAAAATATGCATGCAGGAACTGAAGGAAACTGGGGGAGTTGGGGGGCTGGAATCACGGCCAAGCTCGTGCCACAGGCAGAGGCTGTTTAGGCTCTGTTGCTCCCACCACTGGACTCAGACCATTGTACCCTGGATGCCACTACCATTAGAGGTGGGACGATTTTCAGACTGTCACCAGATTCTTTCACATCGTCCCTGGCTTCAGATTCACAGCCTCAGGCAAAAGCACTGGGTTGGCCAAGCTCGGGCCACTTGCCCGTGCCTGTGCTGTCAAGGCTCAGGAGAAGAGAGGCTCTTGACATTTCACTATGGCAGCTTCCATTGAAATAGGGAGAGAATTTGGAATCTGGGCAGCCAAAAACAAAAAACAAATATCCTCTGCACCTGCCAAACAGGCCACCATAGCAGCCTTTGCTTGGAAAGGCCATTTGCAAAGCAGGAGAGTAGAATTCAGTGGAGTGTGGATTAACTCAAGCTGTAGTATGCTCAGCCTGGCTCCCTGGGCCCAGCCTTCTGAAAGGGACCATGGGTACTGCTATACTCACCTTGGTCTAGAGAGGCCCCTAGTCTCCAACCTGACTCAGGGAAGCTCCTAGACAGCATAGAGATGCTCTGAACCCCAGGCTGTATTTTAGGAAATTTAGGAAGTAACCCATTGGGAGCACTGGACTGCATTCAGAAGAACTCAGTTCTAGTTTCAGATTCATTTATAATTCACAGCATCACTTAGAAGTTTACAATTCCTACCATTTGACCCAGCAATCCCATTATTGGATATATACCCAAAGGCAAATGAATAGTTCTACCATAAAGACACATGTGCATATATGTTCAATGCAGCACTATTCATGATAGCAAAGAAATGGAATCAACCTAAATGCCCATCAATAGTAGACTGGATATAAAAAAAAAGTGGTACATATGCACCGTGGAATACTATGCAGCCATGAAAAAACAAGATCATGTCCTTTGCAGGAACATGGATGGAGCTGAAGGTCATTATCCTTATCAAATTAATGCAGGAACAGAAAACCAAATACTGCATGTTCTCACTTATAAATGGGAGCTAAATGATGAGAACTCATGGACACAAAGAAGGGAACAATAGAGACTGGGGCCTACTGGAAGGTGGAGGATGGGAGGAGGGAGAGGATCAGGAAAAATAATGGGTACTAGGCCTAATACCTGGATGACAAAATACCCTCATGACACGAGCTTACCTATATAACAAACCTGCATATGTACCCCTGAACCTAAAATAAAAGTTAAAAAACAAGTTTACCATTCATTCTGGATCTCATTTTTATGATTGGCAATCTGCTAGTATCAATCTCTACCCATTTAACTCACACCAAAGGGTTAGAGTTGGTGAGAGGCTCTATATTCCACTTCACTCCAAATTTGTGTCTCATAAACCTATTGTTGTAGCTAAAGTCCTGCCACTAGTGAAATTCCTCTAGGAATAAATATATCAAAACGTTTTTCCCTAGGAAGTGAAGTAGAGGTTAGAAGCTACTGTTCTACTGCCTGAAAATTGATATCTTAAATGATCTGTGAGATTTATTTCTGCATGATGTATATCCTTTTAAGTGCTTATATAAGACACAGGACAAGTGAGGCTTAATAGAATGAGATCTAAAAAACTCTGGGTTCAGGGTAAAGTCATTAAGTGCTGTCCTGGCAGGTGACAACCCTGGATTACTCAGGAGAAATAAGGATACAGGATTCTTGGGCAGCTCAGAGGAGAATCAGAGTGAGCTGCTAAGCACTAATCACGGGGTACCCATGCCAATGACATGATTTAAAAAATTTGTACTTCTTGCCATTTTGTCAGCCAGCAAAGCAATGTCTTCTCTCAGGATCCAAAAGGCGATTACAGCTCAGCCTTTCAGCCTAGAGGAGGAAACAGTTTTTCTGTGCCCAATTCCTTGTTCACTGGAACAGCCAAGCTTATGCCTAGATGCCAAGATAAAAGTCATTTTCCTTCCTTCCTTCCTTCCTTCCTTCCTTCCTTCCTTCCTTCCTTCTTGCCTGCCTTCCTTCCTTCCTTCCTTCCTTCCTTCCTTCCTTCCTTCCTTCCTTCCTTCCCTCCTTCCTTCCTTCCTTCCTCTCTCCTCTCCCTCTCCCTCCCTCCTTGCCTCCTTCTTTTCTTCTTTCTTCCCCCTCCCTGCTCTCCCTCTCTCCCTCCCTCCTTCCCTCCTTCCTTCCCTCTTTCCTTCCTTTCCTCCCCCTCCCTCCCTGCTTCCTCCCTCCCTCCCCGCTTTTCTTACTTCCTTTTGTTTTTTCTTTCAGCCTGCCATTTTCAGAGTCACAAACTTTTGCTGAATACCTATTATGAGGCTTCCACTTTGCATTTATCTCATCTTCCCAAAAACGCTATGAAACTTCTTATTACACTTTTATAGATGATAAAACTGAAGCTCAAGAGAGGTTAAGAAAATATCTCAAGTTTACCTAGATAGTCAGTAGGTGAGCTGGAGACAAAATCTTTATATAATGATGCTATATCCAGTGCCCTTTCTAATAGTTCAATACATCTAAAATGTACCAAAGGAGATCTAATTATGATGGATTAAAAAGTATTAATGTCAATGGCCACAGTCTTCTCCCCTACCTCTATCACTAAAGAGAATTCTGATTTTGCCTACAGTTTTCCTTTACCCTTCCCTCCCCTAAAGACAGGAGAGAGAAAATTCATAGCTCTACACAATACAGAAAAGTAGAGAGGATGTAGGAGGGGAGAGATGAAGATATGTGTTATGTATATAGAGAGAATTTGGGGGGGCACTGGAGAAAGACGAGCTTTGAGGCAGCTGAGATAAAAAGGGCTTAGAGAGAGAGGAGGATGTTAGTCTCTGAGAAGTTCAAATAAGGGATTTGATTAATGATACATTTCTCTTGGCTGCTGGGCTATATTTCATTGAATAGGACACTTATTGAGACTGGATCACATGGACCTCATCAATTTATTAGGTTTCATAATCAACCTCTGATCCTGCAAGGTGGAAGCCATCCATGTTTCTGGGTTCAGATATTAAATTTAAGTAGAACCCTCCATTTAAAGTGCTAGAGGACCAAAACCAGGTCAAGTGATTTGTCCAAGTTCACATAGGTGGTTTATATCACTTAACAAATGTCTAAAACCATGTCTTCACATTCCAAATACAAAGCTGTTTCTTTTACACCACATTGGGTTTTCACATCATTGCCAATGATATTATGAAGTAAAATTTCAGATCTGAGTGGGGCATCACTAGAAACAGAGGAAAATGTGGAGGCTGAATAGTTTCTGGATGCTGATTCTATTCTTGTCTTCATGATCTGGTACACAGTCTCCCATCTCATCTTCGCTCTATTTCTATTGCCCAGACCAAAACATTTTTTTAAACTACTTATCCTGGGGGTGTGGTACCATGAATTCCCATCATGCCCCAGCCCCTGCAAACTGAATGCCTTGGGTCCATAGATAAATGGTGAATATAATTTAGTATCACTCTGGTGGAGTGAGTAGTGCAGACAAATAACCTTCACTTTTCCCCAGGTGGGCAAGATGAGGTGTACATAAGGATGTCCACTGTGTGTGTGCACAGCGGAAGAGAGAGTCGGAGTTCCAGCCTCTTCCCAGAGAGGGGGGCACTGGAGAGAGCACCTGGCTGAGGTATTACTGTATCTGTATCCACTTGGGGAGGGGTAAGTGGCGACAAGTGAGAGGAATACCTCCCAAGGCTTGAATGAGGGCTTCTGGGGCAGGCTTACAGAAATCAGTAGCCAGGTGGGGAAAATGGCAACCACTTGAATCCTTTGTGTCTATAAACACCACTAGCCAACTTCTGGCTAGAACTGAGTAACTGTAGGATCAGAGAATTCTACTCTGCATTTTCCTTTTATGCTGTTTCAAATTTTAAAAGTTGTTTTCCAAAAGGGTTATTTCAGAAAGAAATTAAATAAACCTCTAGCCGACCTCAGCTGAACCAAGGTAGGGAAAAGTAGGTTTTTACTGAATCTGAGTTTCAGGAAGCTATGGTTTTTCCTTCTAGAATGTGGTCTCTGTGGTGGTATTTCATGAAGAAATAGGAGAAAAAAACAAGAAAGAAGAACTCAAAGCCAAAGAAAACGCAGATCCCACACAACTTCCTGTGTTAATTGTTCCATGTGGATTCAACTGTTCTCGGTTTTGGGAGAAATATATATTTTTTCAGGTCTCAAATAATCTGCCCCTGAACTCAAAGGGCGATGAGGCCCCCAAACAGCCTTTAGCTATCACCAAACAGGCTTCTTACCCTGGGCACCCTCTTTACTCCTTAAGCTTATGCCCCCTTTTGCCACAAACAATATTGGGACCCAAAGACAGAGCCAGCACTACTTACAAATTTAAAATCACTAGGCAAGTTACAGTGAATCAAACAAACTTCACTCCTACTTTACATTTTCAAATCCATTTGCCCTTACTAGAATCAATTTGAACCCGCCTCACAATAACTTAATAAAGGCAAATGGATTTTAAAAACTTGGGCAGAGAGGAGCTCTGGGGAAATCTAGTTGTCAACACATATCACCCTGATAGGGCATTTATTTAAAGTATCCATTTATTAACAAGTTCACTTTTAAAGTGTTGTTGCCACCCACGTCCAGACAGCTGAGGGAGGCTGACACTGAGATCTGCCTCCCCTGATCAGATCTGTGCTTTGATCCCAGGTAGCAAATGTCAGGGAGGAGCTGGCCAGGGAAAAGCCGCCATAGCCCCCGGAGAGGGCTCTGTCCCTGAGGAGGTATGCTCCTTAGCAGCTCTGTTCGGTAACTGGGTAACTCGGTGGCAGGGAAGGAGGTGGGGTGGTGGGGGTGGGGGGTGTTGCTTTCCTTTTGAAATGAGATTCCATGGACTCGAAACTATATTTCCCTCCCTTACCCTTTTTGTTTGTGTTGTTCTTGTGGGGATGCAACGTGCTGTTAATGTGAGCTTTCCCAGCCACAGGGACAGGATCTGTCTAGATGGGGCCACCAGAGGCAGCTGCTGCGTTTCAGCCCCACTGCAGCACAGGGGGTGACACGGAAGGCCTCCATTTCTGATCCATGTATCCAGTAAGATTTTTGGAAACCCATCCCGGTTTCGTGGGTTTGGGGGTGTGTGAATGAGTGAGTGTGTGTGGGGGGGGGGGTGAGGGGTGGTCACGTGACAGTCTTTCCAATCTGGATCCCAATTAAGCCGACACCAGCCAAGAGAAGAAATCTATGAGTGAAGTGACCACTTGGCCCTGGCCTTGCAAAGCACTGCAGAGTCCGAAGCCCCAGCAGGGTGAGCCGAGTGCTCCCTGGGAAGAGGAGAGCCGAGGACACCGTTCGCCCCTGCTTGCCACTGGGGGCCGCAGTAACCTTCAGCATAGGGGCGTGGGGAGACTCGAACCCCGCGGGTGGCTCCGGCTGCTGGGCTCCCTCCAACGCGCGGCTTCGGCTCGCTTTCCCCTCGGCCCTGCAGCCGCAACCTGGGACCGAAGGGACACCGCCTTTCCGGGGCCCCGGCGGCGCTCCGACTCCCACTTTCCTCCACCGCAGCCTCTGGCAGGGGACCCCCTTGGCGCGACGCCGCGCCCCTCCCCGGGACCGCCCCCTCGTCCCCCAGGGTGCGCGTAGTTGCTGCCGGTGCGCCCCGCCAGCTCGAGCGCCCGGGGCGGGCGGCGGTGGAGAAACCCAGACCGGCTTTCCCCAGCCGCCTCCCCGGCCCGCGCTGCTCCCAGCCTCCAAGCCCGTGACGTGGCGACGCCGGCCAAGACACAAAGACCGAGGCTGAGACCTCCAGGCGTTGAGGGTGAGGCCGCGTCCCGGGGCCGCTGGAGCGCAGGCGACATGCGAGCCTGTCCCGGCTGCGCGCCGCCCCAGAGGAGTCCGAGCGCCCGCCTCAGTCGCGGCGCGCTGGCCCTGACCCGGGCTGCAGCCAGGTGGGCGCCGCGCAAGTAAGCGCAGACCGGGACCCGGGCGGCGGAGGCAAAAGCCTCCCCATCCCCGGGGTGCAACCCCGGGCGCGGAATCTGGGCTGCCGGGTGACAGTGACCAGCTGACTCTGGAGCCTCCCGGAGGCGCGGCATCGGAAGCCGTTGCGACCACTGCGGAACAGCCGCTCCAGACCCACAGAGAGGCGCCGGCCCTGCGCCCGGGGCGCCTCGGAGGTAACTTCGGAGAGCCCGGGCCGGGCGGGGGACGGGAGCGCGCGCGCGCGCGCGCGCGCGCGAGAGAGAGAGAGAGAGAGAGAGAGAGAGAGAGAGAGAGAGAGGAGTGCCACGGGTACACGCGCGCAGGTTTTAAAGTCAGGAGCTGCGGGCGCGCCTCCTTGCCTCGGCTTGGCCCCGCAGCATTGCGGGCCGCGGAGGCGTGGGGGCCCTTTTTGCTGGGCTAAGGGCAGCGGCGGAAAAGGTGTGTGCGAATGCAGGGCTGGGCCGCACCGACAGAGCAGGGATTCGGGAAGAGAAGCCACAGAAGAAGATCATGCAGTTTGGGCAAGTTTTCCTGGTTGAGAATCGCTTCAGGAAACGGTGTTTTGAGGGTTAAATATGTTAGCTATCCGTGCAAAAAGCCTGACACATCAGAGGCGCGAAGTAAGATGGAAAGCTGGACAAACCGCAGGTGGACCGACCAGTGCATCCAGTTCTTAAATTGAGATTTCCAGTCACGTTGACGTGGAATGGGATCGTTGTTCTTCCCGAGGGGATAAGGATGCTCAACTTCACCGGTCAGAAAGCACCGGAGCCAGGCCTGGCCTGTGGGGAGTGTACGCTCGCTCACATGCCGTCCAACTCAGGCAAATGCAGCATGCCCGACCTGCTCTGCCGCCATCCCTACGAAAGCGATCATTTCCCTGGGCTACCGAATCCATCAGAGTAGTCATTTGTCTCCTCGCCGGCGGGGCGGGGAGCGTAACAGTTGAGTAGCCTAACTCTCATAGCACGCACTCCAGCATTGTTTTGCTGGGAGATTGTTACTGTGTTAAGCGGCTGTGTATAATACAGCAGGTAAGGTAAGATTGTGTTCAGCTGCTCTTTTCAGTGGGAATTAAGTTACGTTTGGTGAAGACCTAAGGAATCCAGAGTTTCTGCTATAAACAATATACACCTATCTTAAAGACTGCTCACCCATTTCTGTTGTGGATGGAGCCATTGGGTTGGGAGGTGGTAGAACCATGCAGCCACCCCTGCGGCTGTGGTTGGAGGCTTCATTTCTGGGCTCTGCAATTTTATGCTCTGTGATATTATGCATGGCCTGAAGAGTTGCTAGGAGGAGTGTGGCAGCAGCTTATGTGGCCAGTTATGCACCCTTTATTCCAGCAAACAAGCTGCCACTGCTATCTCTCTCTGATGGAGAGGGTCGGTTAATGGCCCTTCCTTGTCATTTCTCAGACACCAGCATCACTGGGCCTGCCCTGCAGGTGGAAGCTAGCCCACTGCTGTGGTCAAGGATGTCTTTTGAAGTGAGCCTCATTGAGAGCCCAGCAGCAATATATTGGGTGTTGTTGAAATAAGAGAAGTAGATTAGAGAGAGTAGGATGCCTGGAGTTGTACAACACCCTTTAATGGGCTTTCCTTTTGTGTATCAGAGGAGGGTAGAGCAGGAGAGGGGGGTGAGTCTGCAGAGAGAGCAAACTTAGAGATTTTCTTAGGCTACTGGAGCCTGGAGGGAAAAACCTTAAATGTCTGGTAAATAAAGTCTGATTTTTATTGTGTGTGTCTGAGAGACTTGTATAGATCAGGGAGTATGTGAAAATAAATGTCAGTTGCCAGAGAAAGAATAGATCAAACAGTTTATTTGCATTTCTGACGAGTTTGGTGAGGAAGTGTATAGCACTTAATATTTGGAAGGCAGACAAAAGGTTTTGTTGTTGCTGTTATGTTCCTTTTGAATTTTAGATACATGATGCCATTATTTTCTGGCCAATGCTCCAGGCAAAATTGATGTCTTTCCAGTTTCTAAAACCCATCATATTTATGAAGTCTCTGATACTCTGTCTGAAACAGTCATGCTCCTCTGAGGTCGAAATCCCTCTCCTGCCTCTGTCCACAGCAGACGCACAGACCTGGTCTGGGAATTTTCTCACTTAGGATTCCCAAAATGAGCCCTTTCTCAAACCTTGACAAATGTGCAGCAGAAGCCATTGTTGCAGTTATGGCTGTGTGCCTGCTGGCCAGGGATTTAATAGCCAGGGGAAGGCAGGGGAAGGCAGGGGAAGGCCCTGCTCTCTGCTCCAGCCAGGTAGTAATGTACATTCTTAAACTAGCTAGGAAAAGGTTCTAGATTCCTCTGTGAATATGTCGTTTAATCCCACTGATTAGCTTTTCCCACTGACAGACATTCAAATCCTTATTTTTGGAGCTTCCTCTGCAGACTTGGTGTACATTTCAAAAAAAGAAAAGAAGGCTATGAAGCTTAAGACAGGCAGAGACAGTTGGCTTCCTACCTAGGCATGCTTCGAACTCACTGTATGACCTTGGTAAATTATTTAACTTTAATGCATGCTTGTTTTCATGTGTATAAAATGAGAGAGTATCAGACTAGATCATGGATTTTTTCCCCTTTTCCCTCTTCTCTCCATAAGAGTAGAATCCTTTAAATTAAATATTTTATAAAAGTTAAGTGTCCGGGCACAGTGGCCCACGCTTGTAATCCCAGCACTTTGGGAGGCCGAAGCGGGTGGCTCACCTGAGGTCGGGAGTTTGAGACCAGCCTGACCAACATGGAGAAACCCTGTCTTTACTAAAAATACAAAAAATTAGCCAGGTGTGGTGGCGCATGCCTCTAATCCCAGGTACTTGGGAGGCTGAGGTAGGAGAATCACTTGAACCTGGGAGGCATAGGTTGCAGTGAGCCGAGATCACGCCATTGCACTCCAGTCTGGGCAACAAGAACAAAGCTCCATCTCAAAACAAAACAAAAAAGTTAAATATGCAAAACAGATTTAAGAGCAAGGGAGGGACATAGCAGCCAGTTCACTCTCAGTGTGGTGTCTGAAGCACCCTTTGGAACCCCTACGGGCTCTTCAGAATTCAGTTTGAGAATCACTGGAAGCTTCTCTCTGCAATATGGCATATTCCCTCTCTGAGTGTTTCCAATGAAATGTTGTGGTCACCTAGCTCAGTGTTATAAATAAATTGTCACGTACCTGTAACTGATCCTCCTGGATGGCTAGTTAAACCCCTACAATGAGAGCTGTGGGAGGACCA